TTGGAATTATTATCAGTATTAGTCTATTACATTGGATGGCTAGCTTGCAAGGTCAGACAGTTAAGTTTATCTTTGTCTATTATTTGAACTGAAAACAAAGTCATTTTGTAGAATAACAGACTGTCTTAAAGTGGCAGAGTTTATAATGACAGAGTTTACAGGACTAGGGACTAGCTAACATTAGCAGAGAGTTTCAAACAGCAGTTTCATACAGGACGGAAGTTAATTTGGCCCAGAGATTCCACTACTGGGAATTTCCCCCTTAGGAAACATGACCCTACGCAAAGACATTAGAGCAAATTGATAAGGGAAGCGCTAAGGCCCATGAGAGAGCAGGAAGTGTAACGATAGCAGCAATGTATCCATAAGAGATAAGTTATCAGTAACCTCCCAATTTCCAGCCCTAGAAGGCTAGTGAAATAAATGAAGACACATCCACACCTGAAATATGAAACTGAGGGGTATATTTATTGACACGAGAAGATATTCATCAAACATTAGAATAAAAACAACTTTCAAAACAGAGTTAACAGTAGGATACTATTTGATAAAACCATCTTTATCTTGTTCACAAAACTATACAGACCCGTGCAGAGGAAAAAAATATGGACAATTTTTATATCCCTTTTAGCAGCAAGTATATCTGGGAGAGGGAAATACAAACATTCAAAGAAAAAAAGCCTTTATTTTGTATAATCTTCAAGGAGTGTGTCTTACTTGCATCATCACCAAAAGTGCTTAAAACATGAGTGCTTCTAAAGAGAAAACATCTGACTAGAAGAGCAGTGCCCCAATGGTCAGATATGTCAGGAACTGGGTGGGAAAGGAGGCAAGCGGAAGAGCAGTATAGTCGGGAGCCCACTGGGGCAGCAGCAAGAAAAGCAGCAAGCCAAAAGTCAGAGTAACAGGCGAGTGTCCACCTCGCGGTCAGCTCAAGTGCGAAATGTGGAGACAGCATGTTCCACGTGTTCCAAACTGTCCAGGAGTGACAGGCAGTTAACTAAGTATCCCTGTTGTCACCACTGCCCCTTGGGACATGAACATGAACAAAGCAACAGAACAAAGCTAGTCAAGGCTGCTGTTAGCTGACTTTTTCTAGTTCCGGCTCCTCAAGACACCAGAGGCCCTGGCCTAGGGTCCCATACCCCTCGGGGAGTCTCTACCAACTCTTAATTCAAGTGTCTAAAGTCCGGGCTGGAGTGACAGATGGGGAAGGTAGAGAAAAGTCTAGACGAGGTCATGAAGAAGGAACTACAGCAGCTGACACAGGTAGAATCCAGTGATGGGGGAGGCACTCTGAACCTCACTGCCTGGAACAGGTGAAGTGACCTGGACAATGACCTGAGAAGGCGGGGCCTCTGGGGGCAGCCAACACCATGTGCCTCCTGACGGATATGATAGAAAACACACCTATGAAGTGCTCTTTAAAAAATACCTATATATATAAAAGCCTAAGCAACCAGCCGACCGGCCAACAGCTATGACAAGCACTGACCACTAGGGGGCAGATGCTCAACGCAGGAGCAGAAACTACAGGCATGGAAACATGGAACAGACTGATGAATCTCAGAGGGAAGGGAGTGGGGAGGGCGGGAAGAGATTAACCAAATATCTTATATGCATACTAGAGGCACAGTGCATGGATTCGTGCACTGGTGGGGTCCCTTGACCTGGCCTGCAGGGATTGGGCTGAAACTGGCCAGGTGCACAGATTCATGCACGGGCTCTCTGACATCCCCCGAGGGGTCCCGGATTATGAGAGGGCAAGGCCAGGCTGAGGGACCCCAGCAGTGCATGAATCTGTGCACTGGGCCACTAGTGTGTGTGTGTGTGTGTGTGTGTGTGTGTGTGTGTGTATTGATTTCAGAGAGGAAGGGAGAGGGAAAGAGAGATAGAACCATCAGTGATGAGAGAGAATCATGGATCGGCTGCCTCCTGCAGGCCCCCTACTAGAGATCGAGCCTACAACCCAGGCAGGCGCCCTTGACCAGAATCAAACCCAGGACCCTTCAGTCCGCAGGCTGACACTCTATCCACTGAGCCAAACTGGCTAGGGCTATGAAGTGCTCTTGCCAAAGAAGTTAAAGGTGAATCCAAGTCTGCAGAGTTTAGAACTAACTTCTATATTTGACAGAAAATATCAAGGAGAGAGGAGCAAGCTTAAGGACACCACAGAAAGCAGACAGATTTAGAATGGGGAGCATTCTTTAGGACACCTGACCCAGTTTCTTCCAGCACTGCTCACACAATCGCACAAAGCTTTAAAGCAGCAGTTCTCAACCTGTGGGTCGCGACCCCTTTGGGGGTCGAATGACCCTTTCACAGGGGTCGCCTAAGACCATCGGAAAACACATATATAATTACATATTGTTTTTGTAACAATGAAATTGGGGGTCACCACAACATGAGGAACTGTATTAAAGGGTCGTGGCATTAGGAAGGTTGAGAACCACTGCTTTAAAGGAAAAAACATGGTTGCCAGGGCTCTGGGAAGGGGGAAATGGGGAGTTATTGTTTAATGGGTAGAGAGTTTTAGTTTTGCAAAATAAAAAAACGTCCTGGGGATCTATTGCACAATGTGACTACACTTAACACTACTGAACTGTACACTTAAAAATGACAAATGTTATATTACTTTTTTCTTAAATGCCAATTTAGAATAAAATTTAATTTAAAATAAGTGCTTCTAAAGCTTAAAAATATTAAACCTGGATATTAAACCTGGATATATACCTGTCTTTTTACCCAAAGGTAAAATATTAAACCTGGATATAAAACCTGGATATTTAGAAAAGTACTAAAACAGTTAGACATATCAGGAAGTGGGTGGGGAGAGGAGGGAATTATATCTCCACATTATCTTTGGGGTCCCACAAGGCATTAAAAAAATCGAGAGGAGACTTCTTTAGATGAACAGAGACTCAAGAGATCAGAAAACCAAAAGCAATCTGTGTACCACGTTACCACATTTGGATCTGGGATTCAAATGAGCCAACTGCAAAAAAACAAACAACAACAACAGCAACAAAACACCACATCTCAAAGATGATCAAGGAAATCTGATTAATTGCTTTTCTTTGAGGTGATTTAAACTTTTTCTTTGTAAGTAGATCCCTTGAAGTTTAAGGAAATAGAGGTAAGGCCTTCGAAATAAAACGTATCAGGGTAGAATGTAGATTTAGCAAAAATGGCGAAGGGAGAAATGACATGACTGAGATGAATGAGGGCCTGAGTAGACCTAGGGCCCCGTGGAAAGAAGTAGATTTCACAAGACAAAGACGAGGTAGGGATCATCCTAAAGGCAAGAACAGGGGTTGTGTAGCGAGCATTCAACGGGCTGGGCGGTTCTGACAAGTCATGTTTGTTCTTAATTTCATGACTTAGGAGCCGCCGTCATAGATCAACTTCAAAAATGGCTGGAAAAGCAGGGCAGTGAATAGCAATAGCAGTGACCCACCCTCCCCGGCAAAGAATCAAGTTAGGGACTCAAGGTCCATATGTCTTTGTATCTGACCACCACGCAAGGCAGTGATGGAAAGCACTGGACATTAGAGCAACATGCTACGAAAGAGATTTTTAGTGCAATTGGGGGCTCTTACCTTCAAAGAATGAAGTTTGCCCAGCATGGGATTAGGATTTGAGGTGAGGCTGGTCATGCAGATGATGCCAGAGCCCAAGAAAGCAAAAATATTGTTTTCAAATGGGAATTTTAAAAAAAGAGAAAAGAAAAAAAAGAAACCCCAATCCTTCAAACAAACAACTACCAAAAAAAAAAAGTGATCAGTAACAAGGAAGTGTTTAGCAAAAATATACTTCCCTGAATTAGTGTCTCCAAAAGTCATCATCTAAACCTAAATTGTGAGAGAAATGGCTCTCAGCACTTCACCCTAAGAAAGCTTTCGGACCAGGACCCGAGTACTATAAATGCCCTCGCCTGATTGGATGTGAAACAATGTTGGGCGGGACTAACCAGGAGCATGCTGCAGTCAGTATAATATTATACCTTTTCTTCAGGGTGGACATGGCAGGAATTTAAAGAAAAAAACCTGGGTTGAGCATCAAGAACCAAAGTAAAGACCTCAAAAAAAAAAAGACAAAAAAACCTGGATTCAGGTTCCTGCTCCAGCATTTACGACCCTGATGAAATCCAGTGACAACGGGGGTTTCAAATTTGCTTTATCTGTAAAATGGAATAAATACCTTCACTAGGGACACAGCAACAGTCTTAAAAGATCAAATAAACTAAGACATATGGCAATGTTTTGTATATTATGAGGTGGCGTGCAAATACAGGGTGTCCCAAAAAACTGTATACCCGCTTTAACAGTGGATAGCTCAATTTTGAAAATGAAATGTCTTTTAATAAGCACTGCCTTTATCATTATTCAAAGTGTGTGTATGGATTGGGGGGGGGCACCCTGTATATTACCAATTGCATCAGCTTTGTGGTATGAATCAATACAGGTACACCTGGAAAATCTTCCCATCATGCCCTGTGCTGAGACATCTGTGTGGTGAAGATGTTGTATGTAAACACTTCTATAAAGCCAGGCCACAGACTGCCTGTCTGGAGCCCAACTGCTGGTCACAAGTTTTTTGTTTTGTCAGGTTGTCAAAATCAAGGTTCCTGATTCTATGAATACCACCAAAGAAGGGTGAAATCTATTAGCTTCTTTCCTATGCAACACAAATATTCTTTGTAAGCTTTTTGGCCTGTGTGTGACTATAGATGCATGCATTGAACTTCCTTTTGCAAAAAAACTGCTATACATCAAGCATGTCAAACTCATGGCCCGCGAGCCGCACACATCAACGAGGCATACCAGCCCCGAGTTTGACAAGCTTGCTGTACTGGGTACGTTCTTGCAGCCATTCCCTATCTTTTGAGCTCATGATGGCGAATTTCCAAGTTGTTCAGAAAGTGTGAGGGCTGGTGGGAGGCGTTCTCACACTCAGAGGGTCTCTCTCCAGAAACGTTGGGAATGTTCTCCGAAGACTTTTCAACAGCATTTGCGCTCTCCGGATTCCTCCCGGGAATGGAGCTGGTAGTGCTGCGTGAGCTGCGAGGGTCGGCTGAAACACTTCCAACACAGCCGGCACTGGAAGGGCCTCTCCTGCGCGTGGATCCGGTAGTGCGAGACGAGGTGGGAGCTCTGGCTGAAGGCTTTGCTGCAGTCGCAGCACTGGAGGGCTCTCTCCCCGACATAGTCGTGCTTCTGCCGGTAGCGAATGAGGTGTGTCCGGCGGCGGGGCAACGCCGGCGGGAGGGCTTTCGCCGCCTCGTGGGCTTGGAGGTGCTGACGAAGGTGCACGTCTTGGACGAAAGCCCTGCCGCAGTGGACACACTCGTAGTAGTCCTGCGGATCAGAGACTCTCACACGGACACTTGGGAACCGGGTGAGAGACGCCCCGGGCGGCTGGTCGCCGGAAGGCGTGCCCTGACGTCCGCTGAGGCACGGCACGAGGAGGAGGCCTTCTCCGAATTGCTTACCTTGATGGGGTTTCTTCCCAGTGTGAACCTGCTCGTGACTCTTAAGGGCCATTCGGGTACTGAAGGTTCTTCGGCAAAATTCACATTTGTGGATGCTGGTCTCTTGGGGGGAAGGCTTGCTGACCACCGGCGGGGGAGGGGTGCCCACCCCGGGAGCAGAACATTCCCGGGGGTCCATTCCCAGCGGACCCCCCGGTGGTTCCGGAAGATCTGAACGTCTCTCAAATTCGTCACTGGCGAGGCTCCTTTCCGGAGCGAGGGTCTTGGGCTCACTCGCCATGACAAGGCACCGGGGTTTCTCCTCGTTGACCTGATTCGAATCCAGTGGATCGTCAGGAGAAGACTCCCCCGTGGGACCTACAGGCCAGGAGCTAGCTACTTCCAGATCCTGCACTCCTGCCCCCAAGGGTGGTTTTTCGACTGGCAGGCTTTGCTCTGGAGGTAGCTGGTTGGTTTCGGGTCCTGTCTCCCAATCTAAAAGAAATGTAGAAGTTCCTCTACCTTTTTACTCACAGAGACACATCATCATCATAAGCAGAAACAGAAGGAAGGGGACACAAAACCAACAGGAGGTTGGGAGGGATTTAAGTACAAGTCTTGCTAATAACCGTGTGGGTTTTCTTTAGAGGAAGGAAGAAGCTGGTCAAAAGGTCGGGCTTGATAAAGGCAACTCCCTGGATGGGACAGAAGCTGAAGCCAAGGAAATGACATGTAAGACTGTAGTTGGGAAGAGACGACCGTGAACACCGTGGCCGCATCCCGGCGGACACTCAGACTCCGGGAGCGGAGCGCGGAGGAAGCAGCAGAGCAAGGAAACAGACTGGGAAGCCATTGGAAGAGGGTAACCGGACCCACCACCGTGAACTTGATTTTGGGAAATGGTCTCTGAAGAAGTCCTGAGCGAGTCCGCTGTTTCCTCGCGCTGCTGCACGACCGGCCGGCCGATGTCTCCGCGTGTTCTGCCAGGTCCCGGTTCAGAGATTACCGCGATCCCGAGCCCTCTACAGCCACGGCTCCAGCTTCCATCCGTTCCCGCCTGCCGCACTTCTGCAGCCGCCCTACTGGTTGCTCTGCTGGTCTTTCTAAAGCCCGTTTTCCATAGAACAGCCGGAGGGATCTTTCTAGAACAGAACTGCCCAACAGAATGCCCTGTGATCACATAAATGTCTGTATTTCTGCCGTCCGATACAATAGCTACCGGCCACATGCAGCAAACACGCACCTGAAATGTGGTCTCTGTGAGTGAAGAACTAAATTTTATGTAATTTTGATTCATGTCCATGTAAGTAACTGCATGTGGCTAGTGGCTGCTACACTGGACAGCACAGTTCTAAGTTGTCAATAACATGATCTCATTCCCTGGCTTGAAACCTTTGAATGCCTTTTCCACGTCTAAACTTGGAACAAAATCCACATCCCTTAACTTATCCCTATGGGGGCTGGCCTGTATCTGTCTCTACGACCTTACCTCCTATCCCCTCTGCATCACTCAGGGGTCCTCAAACTACGGCCCGCGGGCCACATGCAAATACAAATATTGTATTTGTTCCCGTTTTGTTTTTTTACTTCAAAATAAGATAGGTGCAGTGTGCATAGGAATTTGTTCATAGTTTTTTTTAAACTATAGTCTGGCCCTCCAACGGTCTGAGGGACAGTGAACTGGCCCCCTGTTTAAAAAGTTTGAGGACCCCTGAAGACCATCTCACTCTTCCCCCTGTTTCTGGAACACCCAACCTCTTTCCAACCTCAGGGCCTCTGTATATGCTGTTCCCTCTGCCTGCAACACTCTTCCTCAAATGACTGACTGGCTCCCCTTTCTCTCATTCAATTCTTCCTCACTGAGTTCTTTCCTGACCGTCCCATCGTAAGCAGCCTCACCATGTCACTCTGGTTGCTTTACACTCATCTTCTATGACTTGTCTATTCATCTGTCACCTCCCACCCCACAGATGTGGGGTTTTTTTTTGTCTGCTACTGTATTCACAGAGCCTGGGACAGTGCCTCGCCCACCACAGAGGCTCAATAAGTACCCGTGAAATGATTGAAAGAATCTAAGAAGGAATGAACAAGTTAAAGATGAGAAGACAATGGAGGAAACAGAGAAGCAAGCAGAGGAGTCCCCTTGGTGGTCCCTGAGATTTTGTGTATGTGTGTGTGTGTGTGTGTGTGTGTGGAACCCACTTCTCCACCCACCCAGGAAAAGGCAGGAGGCCTGTGTCGAGGATACTGCGCCAGGCACAGCTACAGGTTCGGGGATGGGATGTGACCCAAAATGGATCACTTGGAAAAGGAGGAGGCTGTGTCAAGAGCTTCTGTGGAAAAAGCTGCCCTGCTCTTAACACATTGCGGACCAGGAGTTTTATTGGTAGCTTTACCCAGTGGCCAGATCGGTTTCTATTGAATGAGTACAAAAAATTTTTTACATAAGTGTAAAAGACACGCTTTAAAATGAAATGCCCATTGCATTTTGAAGTTATTTATTACATGTTCTTACAAGCTAATATCATTTTAAAGCAGCGGTTCTCAACCTGTGGGTTATCAACCTGTGGGTTTCGACCCCTTTGGGGGTCAAACGACCCTTTCACAGGGGTCGCCTAAGACCATCGGAAAACACATATATAATTACGTATTGTTTTTGTTGTTTAATCACTATGCTTTAATTATGTTCAATTTGTAACAATGAAAATACATCCTGCATATCAGATATTTACATTATGATTCATAACAGTAGCAAAATTACAGTTATAAAGTAGCAATGAGAATAATTTTATGATTGGGGGTCACCACAACATGAGGAACTGTATTAAAGGGTCATGGCATTAGGAAGGTTGAGAACCACTGTTTTAAAGTATGATACTCTGCAAAACACTGTGTACTATGAAGCGAGAATTCTCACGATCCGTCCGCAATGTGTTATTAAGAAGGGTTTTTGGACACACCCTGGGCTCTCTCACGCTCTCTTTGGACAGGGGATCTGTTGACCGAGTGAAAAGAGAAAATGAAACTATATCTGAAAACATCACGGAGCCCCTAGATCCAACCTTCCCCTGACCAAGACGAAGCTAATAATCCCTCGATGGTTTACGCCTGTTTGTTTGGGTGTGGCTTTCTGTTAACAGCAACTGGCTGACGGGCCGGTTCACAGGGGAGGACTTCATAAAGATGGAAAGCGTTATCACCCTGGAGCCACAGACTTTGGAGAAGGCAAAGTCTAGAAGGTTCTTCTCCTTGAGTCATAAAAGGATGTCCGTAGGGACCTTTTGGGGAAGTTGCACAGCAAGCATGTCAAACTTGCGGCCCGCAGGCTGCATGCAGCCCACAATGAATACTTTTGCGGCCCAGCCAATATAGCGGTATGTAAGGAACATTTTAATAAAAATTTCGTAACTTAATTTTTACAATATCCTGTTATACGTAATTGTTAATAACAAACTACAACGTTCGTTAATGACTGATGACTCTCATTGTGTTGCATTCATCTCCCTTACGTGCCTTACAAGCAAGCGCACCATTTCTCTCCACTAATAGTAGCAGCGAATATTTTAGCAGCTGATGGCCACATCATTCGTCTGGGACTGACTTGTTGGGTGTGCGCAACAGGAAATATTTTGCTTTCGGAGAACGAGAAAAATAGGTTATTTGCATTATGCTTATGAATTTGTGCAGTTATTCAGTGTCTGGTAAGTTCATGTTCAAGGAAAAAAATTAATTTTTATTAAAATGTTCTATTATTGTATGTTAACGACGACTCATTTATTTTAGCCCTTTGTATTCAGTACGTCTCTATCGACATAAACCTACGTTTCTACGAAAATGGAAGCTTTTGTTTTTTTGCAGCCACATACACTTAGACCTTGTTTATTTGGCCCGTGTTAGCCTTTGAGTTTGACATGATTGGTCTAGAACAGGGGTCCTCAAACTACGGCCCGCGGGCCACATGCAAATACAAATATTGTATTTGTTCCCGTTTTGTTTTTTTACTTCAAAATAAGATATGTGCAGTGTGCATAGGAATTTGTTCATAGTTTTTTTTTTAAACTATAGTCCGGCCCTCCAACGGTCTGAGGGACAGTGAACTGGCCCCCTGTTTAAAAAGTTTGAGGACCCCTGGTCCAGAAGGTTCTTTCTCTTGAGTCATAGAAGGATGTCTGTAGGGGCCTTTTGGGGAAGTTGTACAGTGAGTGAGAGGGAGAGAGAGAGTGAAGGCAGGGGTAGAGGATGGAAACCAGACTGTGGGTTAAGGAGGAGGGAGCCTCCTCCACAAGCCCGAGGCACTGGCCTGAGAGAAAGCGGAGGCAGCTGGAAAGGGACGCTGTCTCCCAGCATGTTTCCTGCTCCTCTCGGTTAACGAGGAAAGACCTGTGATTTCCAGCGGGCGAGAGCAAAGGCACCGATGAACGGAGGGTGTGGGGCACTAGAGAAAAGGGAACGAGACCTCCCTGGAGCTGGGCAACAGGAAGAGACGAGCTTCAGAGAGGAGATGGAAGGAAGAACCGAGCACGCAGGAGATGGTGACGCCCCTGGAGCCCGAGGCGACAGCACGTACCAGCCTCCTCCCTGACCTGAGCGGGCTTTGAAGAAGGCTCCCTGACTAACAGTCTCCCCTGCCCCGGCTCCCCCCAACACACACACACACACACACACACCAGACTGACTGGGGGTGGTGCTGTCCTAGGATTTCAGTCTCCACAGGCTTATCGATCCTGCCTCACCTGGACCTGTCTTTGTATCGCCATCTTCCTCCATCGCACCGGACTCCTCCTCTTCCAGCTGTGCGATGATGTCGGGTCTAGGAAACCGGTACCCTGTGGAAGAAGAAGACTCGTGACTTAGGGGCTCTGTTCCGAACCCACCACGCCTCCCAGCCCGAGCTCTAAAGGCTCCGTGAGAATAAGGAAGACGCAAATTCACACAGAAGGAAAATGAAGGCTGTTTCTAACAAGTGTGCCCCCAGGACACTTGTGGCAATGTCTGGAGACATTTTATTTCTTTGTTCGGTTAATCCTCACTGGAGGACATTTTTCCATTGATTTTTAGAGAGTGGAAGGGAGGGGGAGAGACACATCGATTGGTTGCCTCCCGTACAAGCCCCGACCAGGGCCAGGGATCAAGCCTGTAACCGATCTGCTTTGATTGCTTTTTTCAGCCCCTCCCCGCCCCCCGCAAAAAAAAGCTAATGAAAAGAGGGTCCTGGTACTGGCTACAAAAATATTTAGCTTGTGGGGAGCGGTAAACAACTTTGTCTCTGGATGTGAAAAGAGACTGGCAACCTCTGACTCTTACACTTTGAGGCCAGTAGAAGCCTATGGAGCCCCTGCAATTTTCAGCAATTCCTTCTCCCATTCAAAAAATCACTGTGAGGGATTGTGGGAGCATCATCCTGAGACACCAAGGTTGTGGGTTCCATCCCTGGTCAGGGCGCATACAAGAAGCAACCAATGAATGCAGAGACAAGTGGAACAACAAATCCATGTTTCTCTCTCCCTTCCTCTCTTCTCTAAAATCAATACATTAAAAAACAAACAAAACAAAAACATCTGTGAGCCTCCTGTTGTGCCGAGACCACACAAGAGAGTTTAAGGGAGCAGATTCTGGAGTCAAATCCCAGCTCTCCCTCTTTGTAGCTGGGTGGCTGTAGACACGTAATTTAACTTTCCCGTGATTCATTTTCTTCATCTGTAAAATGGCAATAATGATGACAATAACAATAACAAATAGACTCCCCTCCCCCCTCACAGGACTAGTCTAAGAATTAAAATGTGTTCTTTTCCAAGATCATTTGGCTATTTTGGGTCCCTTGAATTTTCATACGGATTTTAGGATCAGCTTATCTGTTTCTGCAAAAAAAAAAAGCCAGCTGGAATGTTGGTAGAAATTGCATGAATCTTTAGATCAGTTTGGGGGGGTACAGCCATCTTAACACTAAGTCTTCTGAACCATGAACATTGGATATATGACTTCTTTTGAGGTCAGAAACTTATGTGTTTCCTCTGTCTATGTTTGCGTCTGACTTTTTTCTCTCTCAGAAACACAAGAGCCCGAAAACGCCAGTAAGTTTGCCAAGATTGATGAAGGGGAGGGAAAGAGCAGGCAGAAATACCTAGAGTGTCAACTCCAGTGGCCCCAGGGCCACTTTCAACAATAAAGATTTAAAAAAAAAGACATGGAAAGTTCTCAGATTAATGCTGACACATATTTAACTGCTCGAAAAGTGTTAGCCAAGTTGTAACAGTGAATTTGACATGGAAATATTGTCTTTGATCTGGGTTGAGACTCACTGACATGGGGGCGAATCACTGTGACTCACGGGAGGACAGAACCAAGGGTGGAGAACCAGGCCAGGTGGCCCGGAGAAGGCGGACTCACCTAGGGACACCAGGCTCCTGTAATTCTCCAGCGTCACCTCCCGGTGGAGGCGCCGCTGAGCAGCACTCAGGGAGGTCAGTTCCTCCGGGCTGAAGTCCACAAACACATCCTGGAAAGTCACCAACTCCTAAAACAACAATCACAGATGCTGGAAACCCAGAAATTATCCGAGGGGCAGGGGAAGGAGCCCGACGAGAGAGGACTGAACGTGAAGTGGACGTGCAGACCAGCGCAAGCTGCTAATCCAAGTGTCCCAATCCTGAGGTCGGGACCTGGCAATGTCTTTTTAAAAAAATATATATTGTTTGCCGAGACCGGTTTGGCTCAGTGGAGAGAGCGTCGGCCTGCGGACCGAAGGGACCCGGATTCGGTTCCGGTCAAGGGCATGTGCCTGGGTTGCGGGCACATCCCCAGTGGGGGGTGTGCAGGAGGCAGCTGATCGATGTTTCTCTCTCATCGATGTTTCTAGCTCTCTATCTCTCTCCCTTCCTCTCTGTAAAAAATCAATAAAATATATTTAAAAAAATATATATATATATATTGTTTAATTGATTTCAGAGAGGAAGGGAGAGGGAGAGAGATAGAAACATCAATGATGAGAGAGAATCATTGATCGGCTGCCTCCTGCACGCTCCCTACTGGGATTCAAGCCCACAACCCGGGCATGTGCTCTTGACTGGAATCGAACCCGGGACCCTTCAGTTCACAGGCTGATGCTCTGTCCACTGAGCCACACCGGCCAGGGCATGCCTTTGTCTTGTAGTCTGACAGAATGGAGTACGTTTCTGAGCCAGATCCTGCTGCTGGTTACTACAAATTTGGGTTGGAGGAATACCCCACCCTCGGGAATCAGAGCTGGGTTGAAATCCTGGCTCTGGTTCTTTCTCATAAGCTTTGTGAGTGTGGGTTAGGGTGAGCCTTAGTGACCCACCCGTAAAACGCAAAGAGCTCAGAACCCGGCCAGATAGCTCAGGTGGTTAGAACATCGGCCTGATACGCCAAGGTTGCAGGTTTGATCCCCTGGCAGGGCACACATAAGAACCAACCAATGAATGCATAAATAAGTGGAACAATAAAAATTGATGTTTCTAACAATAAAACAATAAAAATTGATGTTTCTCTCTTTCTCTCCCCTTCTCTCTCTCTCTCTCTCTCTCTCTCTCTCTCTCATATCATAAATAAATTTTAAAAATTTAAAGGAAAAAACACAAAAAGCTCATAAATATGAAAAGAGATCCAATCTTATTAATAAACAAGGAAATGCAAGTCAAAATGACAAAGTACCACTTCATACCCATTCAACTGACAAAAATCAAGAAGTCTGACAAGACCAAATGTGGACCCTGGGATCTTATAATAGGCTAAGGGAAATGTAAATTGGGAAACCACTTTGGACCCAGAAATTCTATTCCTAGGTCCATATCTGCTCACGTGTGCTTAGAGACAGAGATGTTTATAACAGCGCTATTCGTAGCATCTAAAACGGGGAAACGACCCAAACGTCCACTCATAGTAAAAGAGATAAATATATGTTGGTATAGTCACACAGTAGGACAATATTCCAGCAATACGAACTAATTATCTACAGCTCCACACGACTCTGTATAACTTAAGGTTGAATTTAAAAAGCAGATATTAGAAGACCCATTTAATTGATTTTCCCCATTTGTGTTTTCAGGGAAACATTATGCAAGTCAATGAACATGTGATTTAAACTAGAGGTCACAAAACAAAAATAAATTATCGAGAGGCCAGGCGCGGGCTGCCCAGCTCCTACAGTGAGTTTATTTGGCTCACATAAGTCTTTTAATCTTTTGAAAAAATTCGTATTAGCCACCAACACACAAAAAAATTATATATTTCATATTACTAATTGGAATTTTGGCTTCTTTTTAAAAAATCAGAAGACTGGACCCACATTCTCACATGGTACCATCAGCTGCAGCTGTCATAGCTGCCCTTGGGTGGCGCAGGCACTGCCCCGTTTGTCACAATCCGCCCATTTATAAACCCCTTGTTCACATTACCTGGGCGGCTCCTGTGGGCACCTCCACTGGGGACTCTTGAGACAGACACTGTAGGGACAGAGGGCTGCTTTCAGGAGCATGTTCTCCCAGAACAGTGTTTCTCTACCTCTTTTCCTCTTCGCCATCTTAGATAATTTTTTTTCCTAAACGCCACCCCGCCCCCCCCCATGAATTATTTCTGGTTCTAAAGGAAAAGCAGTGTATTCATTGGATTTTCTTTGAGGTTTCAAAATGTGATGGAACAAGAACATTAAGGAGTGGTTTGGGGGGAGGGGGAAAGAAAGAAAGAAAACCCCACATCAGTATCATATCCCTGAAGTAGCTGCCATTTGTTTCATAAATAAAAAGGAGAATAGTGCTAACCATAGGGTTGATTTGAATAAGCCGTCCCTGCCCTGGTTGGCATGGTTCAGTGGTTAGAGTGGTTGTCCCTTGAACCAAAGCGTTGCAAGTTTCATTCCCGGTCAAGGGCATGTACCTGGGTTGCAGGTTTGATCCAGGCCCTGGTCAGGGTGCGTGCAGGAGGCAACCAATCAATGAGTCTCTCTCACATTGATATTTCTCTCTCCCTCCTCCCCTCTTTTCCACTCCCTAAAAATCAATGGAAAAAATATCCTCCAGTGAGGATTAACAGCAACAAAAAGAGGTAGAAAGAGAATAAATGTTAAAGATATTAGAGTGTGGGACAGTGATAATTACAACAGAGAAAAATAAAGCTGCAAAGGGGATACAAGAGTCAGAAGAAGTTACATGGGGAAGTCAGGGAAAGGCATGTTTACGGGATATTGATATGAAAATGAGGAAGTGGTTCAATTGGATAGGAAAGGCACGGAAACCGGGAAGGGGAGGTGCCCATATTGGAGAACCGAATCAGAAGAAAGCCTGACTCGCCTGGCATCCAGCAGAGGGCAAATCGTCACATGTGTTTGGTTCCTCCTTTCGGTGTTCTTCGGCCTTCCTCTCTTCTGCGAGGATGGGGTCCTGAGCAGGGAAATCTAGAAGGGAGGAGGAAATGACCATGGAATTGAGTCTAGTCTGGCGGCAATCACAGACAGAGCGAGGGGCCTGCCCCTCCCCCTGCACCCCATCCTGCCATGGGAGGTTAATGGCAGTTCTGGATGTCCCATAAGAGAAAGACCGTAGGAATACTTTCTCAGTTCCATACAGCAAGTTCTTCAAAACCTCTCTAGTCACTTCCCAATTCTAAATCCTTTGATGGCTCCCCATTGCCTTCCAAATAGAGTGGAAGCTCCCTCTATGTTAGTGGTTCCCAGTCTCACGATACGCTCAGAATCACCAGGGAATCTGTTTCTAAACTGTAAAATGTAAATACTTATACTTCTAAAGACTCTTGTAAAGATTAACATTACATATGTAAAGCACATTGCGGGCATGAAAAACAATGGCAGCTCTTATTATTAAGCTTTCTATATATATATTTTTTTCAATATATTTTTATTGATTTCAGAGAGGAAGGGAGAGAGGGAGAGAGAGAAACATCAATGATGGGAGAGAATCATGGATTGGCTGCCTCCTGCACGCCCCTCACTGGGGAAGAAGCCCGCAACCCCGGCATGTGCCCTTGACCGGAATCGAACCCAGGACCCTTTGGTCTGAAGCCGGACACTCTATCCACTGAGCCAAACCAGCTAGGGCTCCATATATATTTTAAACAGCCACCACCTTCCGGACAATAGCCTGAACCCTGAAGGCCTTCCTTGCCTGTACTCTCTTTCCAAGTGCACCTGCCTCTTTCTCCTAGGGAGCTCTTTCCTTTCCCTGGAATTCCAGCTCCATCAAAAGCTCTGTGCCTTTGGCCAAATTTTTATTCTCTCTGGAACGATATTCCCCATGTCCACCAGAGGCAGTGTAACACTGTGATTAAAGTACAGACTCGGGCGCCTGCAGGGATCCTGACTGTCAATGATTAATCTTGGGGCCATGGAAAAGTTACTCAGCCTCTTCGTTCTTCTGTCTCCTTGTCTATAGAACAAGAGCTATTAAGAGAAACAAAATTAATTGCTATGCAGAAAACACTTAAATTTGAAGTGCCCAACTTGTTCACTGTATCTTCAAAATTCTTTTAAGGAATGCAAATAACTGCATTAATCACAATCCTTTATTTCTTGCTATGGCATCAGCATGGAGCCATGCATGAGTTTCATGTTTATTTTAAATTGATTCATTTATATTTTTAACTATAACGCCTCTCTCACAGTTTTATTCAAAGGATGATGAGGAGTAAATGGCATTCTTTTCTCATCATTGAAATGCCCTTTGTTCCAATCTAGTAACTTGAGTTTCCAGACCAGCCACATTTTAGCAGAGATTAAACTTCTAGGTCTTGTGTTTCCCACTTTTTATACCCTGTATTTTTGGCTGGGTGTGTTGTTTGGGATAAGAAATGGGAGGAGAGGCCCTAGCCGGTTTGGCTCAGTGGATAGAGTGCTGGCCTGCAAACTGAAAGGTCCCAGGTTCGATTCCTCTCAAGGGCACATGCCCGGGTTGTGGGCTCGATCCCCAGTGGGAGACTTGCAGGAGGCAGCCGATCCATGATTCTCTCTCATCATGGATGTTTCTATCTCTCTCTCTCCCTCTTCCTTTCTCTCTGAAATCAATAAAAATATATTTTAAAAAAAAAGAAATGGGGGGAGAGGAGGACAAAGCTGGAGAGAGGGGCACTCTCAGAGAAATAATATTAAAAGCAAAGTCCAAACACAAAAATGTCTTCCATATCGTATGAGGCAGGTTATACAGGATTATGAAATTCATCCTCTCATTCATTTGACACATTTTTATTCACCTCCGATAACATGCCAGGCATACAGCAGGTGTTCAGTAAGTGGAAACGGCAAGTTGCCTCCTTCCCATCTCACCTTCCTCCCCACATGCTTGGAGCAAGTTGGCCACCAGGGTTCCTGCCTCCTTGCTGTTCCTGGGTCGCCTGGATCTCACCCACGTCTGAACCTCCTGGGGCAGGGTGCTCAGAAACTGCTCCATCACCAGGAGCTCCATCATCTGCTCCTTGGTGTGGGTCTCCGGCTGCAGCCACTGACAACAGTGCTCCCGGATTTGGCTCAGAGCTTGCTGAGGCTCCGTCGCTGAGAGGGACTGAAAATGCCTCAGCTTTTCATGAGAAATTTTCAGGACCCCCGGGTTTCGCCTACAAAAGGGCTGAGGGTTCCTCAAGAGATCCAAGACGTCTGTCACGTGCGCCATCTTTACAGCTCGGTCCTTTGCAGGATAAAGATATTTGAAAAGGCGGGATGCTCCAGAACACACTGTTGTGGAAGAACTGTATCAGAGGAAGAAAGGATACAGGAACGTCGGGGCCTGCAGAAATTACAGAGACAGACTTACAAATGGCCTGCATAGTTAGGACTGGACAGTGGGGTAAAGCTGATCTGAGGCAAAGGAAACTAGCTCATTTCACACAAATATATATTCACAGAGATTTGCACGTCTACAGACATCATGCTGCCTCAGCCCCATCCCCAGGTCTAGAAAATCCACAGGCACAGGCTAGAAATATTTCAGAAATGGCATTGAAAGGAAAAGAGACTTGGATTCCCAAACCACAATGAACTGAACAAATCTGAGGAGCCAGGGAAGAATTTCATTTCAAAATGTAAATGATTTTAAACAACTATATATTATACAGGATGAAGAAAGAGCTTTATCACACATACTAGTACATACTGAACTCATATGCAAAATATATAAAGTACTCATACAAATTGGTAAGAAAAAAGCAGACAATATAAAAACAAAAAGGTTAAGAGATTTGAGAAAAATGGCCAAAAAACATATGAAACAGGGCTCAACTTCATTAGTTAGCAGAGAAATAGGAATTAAAACCAAAGGAGATACCACTACACATTCTCCAGAAAGCTCAAAATGAAAAATAAAACCAGACAATATTAAGTGTTCGAGAGGAGACAGAGCCACAATAGAATGGCATATGTATGCACTGGGACTAGAAACAATTGAGAACATGGATGTATCCTGCTGTTGAGCAAAAGAAACCAGGCTTTTCTTTTTTTAAAGCCCACATTCAATGATTATATTTTTATAAGGGTCAAAAACAGGCAAAATGAGTCTAAGGTGTTAAAAGTCCAAATAGAGGCCTGTCGGGTGTGGCTCAGTGGTTGAGCATCGACCTATGAACCAGGAGGTCACGGTTCGATTCCAGTCAAGGGCACATGCCTGGGTTGCAGGCTCGATCCCCAGTAGGGGAAATGCAGGAGGCAGCGATTGATGATTCTCTCTCATCATTAATGTTTCTCTCTCTCTCTCTCTCCCTCTCCCTTCCTGAAATCAATAAAAATTTATTTTTTTTTTAAAAAAAGTCGGAATAGTGGTTACTGTTGGGACTGGGGGCAGCAGTGGTAATGCCTGGGAGGAGACAACCTAAGGGGCTACTGGAAAGCTGGTAATATTCTATTTCTTAATCTAGGAGCTCATGACATAGACATTGCATGTTCAATTTGTGAATACTGAGTTCTACACTTAGGATTTGTGACCTTTTCTGTATGTATACTTCACTAAGAAAGTTTTAGCTGTTACAGTTGTGGGGAAACATCCAGGTTTAGTATTAAGTGAAAAAAAAGACAGGAAACAAACTTGTACATAGACTATATGCTTAACCATATAAGGCACAGGAAAAGACATTGAAAAGTTAACCAAAATACTGCACCAGGGGCTTATGTATGAATAGTGAGTTTATTAGAGATTTTTACAAGCGACTTTGTACCCTCCCTAAAACCTATCTCCTGATTTCAAAAGTTCTACAACAGGGGTCCTCAAACTTTTTAAACAGGGGGCCAGTTCACTGTCCCTCAGACCGTTGGAGGGCCAGACTATAGTTTTAAAAAAAAACTATGAACAAATTCCTATGCACACAGCACATATCTTATTTTGAAGTAAAAAAACAAAACGGGAACAAATACAATATTTGTATTTGCATGTGGCCCGCGGGCCATAGTTTGAGGACCCCTGTTCTACAATGAAGCTTCATTTCTTCTACAATCAGAAAAATAAAAAATACTTTATTCTATTAGAGTTACATTCACTCTATGAAACCATGCGTGAAATTGCCATTTGGGGGAAACATTTTTGTTGTTAATCCTCACTTAAGGATATATTTTTCCCCATTGATTTTTAGAGAGAGTGGAAGGGAAGGAAGGAGTAGGGGAGAGAGAAAAAGAGAGAGAAACATTGATTGGGAACGG